TTATTTATTTATTCCTATTTCGCATATGTTACTCATGGTGACCCCCCCCCCCCTAAACAAAATAAAAAAAAAACCCTTCTGTTGCAATTTCTCCTAGGTTGGGCTATTTTTAGCGTATATTTACTGGACCAAATACCATCAGCAAAAATACTGTCCTAATGGGAAAATCATAGCCCAGTTGGTATCCGTTACTTTTCCGCTTCGTTCTTAACCAGTTCGTAATTACTTCGTTTGTCGTGAACTTCGTAACTGCCTCGCAACTACATTGTGAAATTTCGTTGTAGCATAAAAATTGATTGAACCAATATGATAATATGATTAAGCAACTCTCACACAATCACGACCTGTATGCACTGCGATCAGTATACCACCGACACCGACCAGTGTGAGAGCTGCTATGAGCAACTTGCTCGTGTAGAAGAGAGGGTCGTCGATGGTCGCGGAGTTTTCAACATGTTGAAAAAATATAGTGGTCGGTACTGGTCGTCAGGTCCTACTTCCGGTCAGATGCGATCGTAGGTATAGGTACGGTCGCATTTTTAGGTCGCGATAATGTGAGACAGGCTTTAAGAAAGATCAGGAAAGAAGGAATTACGACAGATTACGACACCGTTGCGACATGTTGCGAACAATTTAGGAAGTCGTTAATGTTTGTAAAAGTTTTGAACATTTAAAAATCGACACCATGATGAACAACAGCACGAAGTGTTTCCGCAGTCCTGCGAATCATTACGACGCAGAAGTACTTATGACAGGCTTGCCTTTCATTACGAAATGACACGAACTTCGTTTTTCCATACCCCTTTAAGCTTTTTCGTACCTTATAAATTGAAAAAAATATTTAAACATAACAGTACCTCCGACTGTACACAAACAGGACAACCTCTAATTTGTTATCTTATAGACAATCAGCATTGATCAGAGACAAATACTATTTTGAAACCAATTCTGAAACTGGGTGAGTTATCAGATGCATAAATAATAGTGATTTCAACTAGATTTTGGTGATATATATTTTCGGCCTGTCCTAGGCCCATTTTGCCCTATGTACACTACAACGATCAATCAAAATAATCCCAGGAGATATTACCGTCGTTGTCTGCTTCAGTGATCGTCTATGTACATCCATTCCATCATAGGGAACTCGGAACGTCATTGCGAGGCTAACTAAGAACAATAGCTTCACCGCAAGCCAGATAACGTATTACGTAATACGTAGTAAGAACTGTCAAGAATTGAATTGTCAAACTCGCTTTAACTTGTTTTTAAATTTGAAGTACCGGCTATCTGAATCCAAAGAAACAAGATGACACACTTTATAACCCGGCGTTCAATAACTGTAGCAGTACTTTTATGTACCAATCAAAACTACACTGAAACAAATGTTAATCAAAGAAAATGTTTCTTTACCTAAAAATGATATTGAAAACTGGGCCGCCTTAGTTTCTATTAGGATGGACAACTGCAACATGATGTCACCATTGTTTCAAAACGCGTCTCGCACAAATTGCTATCAAGTATTAAATTCAAGCGTCACTTTAAATTTGAGTTTTCTCATTGTCATTGCTGGAGACGTTGCCCTAAACCCAGGACCTCACGCGCGACCAGGACTGGAAACCCGCAACAACCAGGCGGAAAAGCCTGATCCACACAAATACGATTGTTTCAATCGTAGCGGAATGCACTTCCTACATCTGAACATTTGTTATTTGTACTCTAAATTTTCCAAACTTAAAGTATCGTTATACATAGTAGAGCAGTTGTGTGTTCCATTTCGTAGACATGGTTAGATAAAACGATATCTGAGTCAGAAATCAAGATCGATGGCTACTGCATTCTCCGCAAAGATAGGAAGAGGAAAGGTGGTGGCATATGCCTTTACATCAGATATGATATCGCATTTAATGAAAGATCAGACCTTAATAACATCAACATTGAGTCGATCTGGATATAACTGCTACTTCCTAAGACCAAGCCAATCATAGTTGGTTGTGTTTATCGATCACAAACGTGTACTTATATTACGTTTTATTGAAAATCTAGAGTCCGTTGTTTCCAAAATTAGATCGGGTTTAAAGGTATATATTTTAGGTGACACTAACATCGACTACAAAAAAAAAAATCCTATGCTTAAGAAATATTGTGAATTTTTACGACTATTTAATTTTACGCAAATTATTGATATTCCTACTCGTATAGCGTCTAAATCCTCTACCATCATTGACCACGTTCTAACTCTAAAGAGAAAGTTTGTCAACGTGGTTCAATTGGCGCTGGTTTAAGTGACCACTTATCAATATACTTAACCCGTATGGTGATAAGAGGACACATAAATAAACATACGGCCAACAAAATAAATTAACGGTCTCTCGTCAGCGTGCGCGTCGATTTAGACCCTGCGTGTCATATTTTTTTAAATTTTTCACCGGAAAAAGTATGAGAACGGTTTGGAGCTTAAAAAAGAGGTGCGGCTTTTACACAGGTGACAAAAAAAATCGTAATATCTCGCGTCCTATTTAGGGGTGCGGCTTATACACCGGAGTATAAGGGACCTTTTGGCATTTTATCGTGCGATACCGTAGCTCGGTGAGTTTGCTGAGCGTGTAAGTATGCCTATGGGATGAAAGAAAGAAAGAAAGAAAAAAACGTGAACAGCTTCATTTACGAATGTCGCAACAAAACACACGTGGGCTGGTTGTTGAAACTTGCTGTTCGACGTTCCGGGTTCCCGGAGGCTTGTAACGTTATAGAGAGAATGATCCGCTATAATTTCAAAATAAAAACTTGTGAAATTAATTTATGCTATAAAAACACAAGTTTTCTTGAAGTTGTAATAATTATTTTACTTGAATTGAAGGCATTCGTCATCTGCGCACGCGTAAACTTTGTATCGCAGCACAATATTTCTGTTTTTGTTTACAAAACGTGGTGCGTGATGAGTGCATGCTTGGCATAATGGGCTGTGAGTAGTAATGACTTAGGCCTAGAATTACCAATATATTAAGCTTAATACGACTGTTATTAGTCACCATTATAATAGAATGATTGTTTAAAATAGATAAATATACTCAATGAGTATTTTATTTTCTAACATTTTATTAAACTAAACTGATGTTGAAAATTTAACGTAGCGCGACCGTCTAGCATGATATGGGGATTTCCCTAGAGCAAGAATACATTGTTTCATTGCAGTAGCCTGAAGTTCACACGCATTTCCAGTTGTTTATGTGAACATTTGTAAATAATAATAAAAAAAAAATTATGGGAACGGCTTGGAGCTTAAAAAATAGGTGCGCCTTATACAGAGGTGATAAAAAAAAATCGTGATATTTCGCGTCCTATTTAGGGGTGCGGCTTATACACCGGAATATAAGGAACCTTTTGGCATTTTATCGTGCGATACCGTAGCTCGGCGAGTTTGCTGAGCGTGTAAGTAGGCTTATGTGATGAAAGTCCGTCGTCCTCAAGCAGTGGTGAGCGACATTTGCACCCTAGATCGAAGGTCACGGCTATGGTGGGATCATCGTCCGTCGAGTTTTTTCAAAGCGTACCCATTAATGCTTACGGGGTCTCCTTGGCAAATAAAGCGAAATCGAAGACAATGTGGAAGGACAACAATGTATAGAGTTAGCAGAACATAAAAAAAAAAATATTAAAAACACCTTTTCTGTACTTTCCATGCTTTTCAAAAAAAAAAATTAAAAAAAATTACACCAAGTGACGCTTGGTATAATTTTAAGTATATTTTTACTAATATCATCGATCAAAGAGGTCAGATTGAAATGCAGGTCTGAACCATGGATCAAGGATGACATTTTATTATCCATAAATGAAAGAGATAAGTTACTTCATAAATTTAAGAAAAACAGAAATGACACGGATTCTTTTAAAACTTTCTGTATATTAAGAAAGAAAGTTCAACGTGAAATTAAATTAAAGCTAACTACTTTAGAGATAAATTAGAGAACAAACACGATTCCAACAACTGTGGAAATACTTAAAACAGCTTGGTGAAAATTCAAAATGTAAATCTAAGAGTAAAGTTGCCTTAGACATAAACGGCACATTATCGAACGATTCTCACGAATTAGCAAATCATTTTAATATGTTTTTTTTACTAATATTACATCGAAACTTTCATCTAAGCTGAAATCTTGCCCAGATTTGTTCGGGGTATCGACAACAGCCTTTAAGGCTTATTATGACAAGAAAGTGAGCGAAAATAAATTTGAAATTAAATAGGTTACTGAGAAGATTTTGAAGGAGCTTGATAATCTGAAAAGCAGTTTACTTAAAGTCAAACTGGTAAATGATTTTCAATCTGGTTTTAAAGAAGATTATTCTACAGAAACATGTTTAGTTTATATTCACGACTATATTCGATATGAATCATCAAAAGTTAATTTCACAGGAATGGTATTATTAGACCTCAGAAAAGCATTCGATACCATAAAGCACTCAATACTTCTTGATAAACTTCTACCAACCGAACCATGGGCGAGGAGCGGCTGGAACCAGCACCGATGTTAAGGCTGTAGAGCTAGCGGCGCCCCTGCCTTACCGCTCGGCCAGATTTTTTAAATATATTGTATGGGTAAGGAGCTATCACGGAAGCATACTGTTAAATGCTTAGGTTGTTACATGAATGAAGATCTTTGTGGTAAAACTATGGTAGAAAACGTACTTACCAAAATTTATGCACGAATTTTTGTATCGGCAAAGCTGTTATCTGAATAGATCAAATCGCAACGCCCTCATATTTTGTCACTTTGATTATGCGTGTTGTGCATGGTATTCTGGATTGACCAATTTCTTCAAGGGAAAACTTTAAGTTGCCCATAATAAAGTTGCTAAATTTATTTATAACTGGGAAAATAGGTCCCATATTGGTAAGGAAGAACTAACAAATATTAGTCAACTTAATATTGAAAGTCGGGTTAAACAATTAAAGCTAAACCATGTTCACAAAATCTTCACAAGCAATTTCATACATGTATACTCATTTCACAAAGACAGCCACCATTCAAAATATCACAAGAAGAAGCTCTCATACATTCTACCTGCCTAAATCAGAAATCAGACACATATGTCAAAGATACATTCTTCTACACAGCTGCACAACAATGGAACCTTTTCTGTCTCTTATACACATGGAACCTTTTACCGCACTTTTTAAAAAACATTAGTAAGAAGAAAGATTTGAAAATTAAAGTTTCATGAGTGAATGAAAGAATTGATTTCAACTTATTTTAGGAATTTGAATAATTGTCTTCGAAAATATATAAAACTCATTTTTATCCATATGATTGTATATTTTGTATGTTTATTGTTTTACCGATTAAATGTTTTTATTGTACTTGTGTGTATTTAATGGACCCATGGAAATATGCTGGAATGATATTTACCGGCCTTTTTTTGGTTACCCATGGAAAAATCAAGTACGTTAGAATTCATGTTATCTATTGTAATGTTTATTTGTGTTCAGTGCTTCCGAATAAATTCAAATGAAATCAAACATCTCATATTTTTTCTATCTTAGGCTATCAAAACAGTAATCATCGTGACCGTGGTTTTCTTGTGCATGACGTTACCGAACGCTGTTGCTCGTTATTTTCTTACAAAAACGTTTCTCAAGGTTCCTCAGTATCCCTTAATAGAGCTAATAACTAATATACTTAGGCTATCTAACAGTTGTATTAATCCATTCATATACGCTTTGGTGTCCAGAAGTTTTCGGTTGGCTGTAAAATTAACATTTTGCAAAAGAACAGCTCAACAAAATAGAAGTTAGGGAAGCCATGGATGCATTAGATAAGCGCAATGATGCCTTCTATTAACTATTATTTTATTGTATAATAACGCCAGATGTTCCGACATTTGGATTTGCTAAAATATAATTGAACATAAACCAGATTATCCACTAATTAGTCATAAATAAAACAAAAAGACAGTAACTCCGAAAGAGACAAAGACATTTTGAGATGAACGTTTCGATATTTTTGATCATTTCAAGAATACTGATGAGACATTGTTAAATAATCTTCGATTGTTCATTGTTTGTTCATGACAATAATAGTTAATGTAAGACACAACTCATTTTTAATTACCTCGTTTTAATTGGCTAGATTCAATTTTGATTTTAACCTTATTGATCGGCTTTTATTTTCTTCTGTTATACTTCTGTAAATATTGTAAATATATTTGGATAGGTGAGATTTTCTCATCAGTATTCTTGAAAATGATCAAAAAGATCGAAATGTTGAATCTTAAAAAAATGTCTCTGTCTCTATTCGGAGTTATTGTCTTTTTGATTTATATTTTTACATTTAAACATTTACACTATTAAACATATTTGTGGACAATGTTAATATTTTAGCCGGTATCTGTGTACAGAGAAATGTTTACGTAGATAACCTCTAAATCACTTTGCCATAGCGCTTCAAATTACTATATATATAATTTATATATATATTATAAACAAATATATAACATTTAAATGTAAATATATTATTATTATTATATTATATTTTGCATTTAAATGTAAATATATTATTTTATATTTTTTTAAATATTTAATGTTGATGCTTAAAAAAATATTATGAGTCCTTCACGGTCTTCTATATTATAAATAAATATATAACATTTAAATGTAAATATATTATTATATTATATTCTAATGTTGATGTTTCAAAATACATTATTTAGTCCTTCACGGTCTTCTATATTACCCTGCAACGGACTTAAGGCTGTGTAAAATGAATATCATTATGTTCAGATATTAGGAATAGTAATTGATTGTGCAAAATGATTAACTGTTGCTGAATGGGTTAAACCTCACGAAACTTATTCACATTTTGGTTTGCTGCGTAGCACCGCAAACACAATATAACCAAATGCATACATAAATATATAGGCCTACCGGTATGTGATAATTATGTAGTATTAAGCCAATGTTAATATAAAATGTTACTGCTTTAATCTTTGTTAGACTTCCCTTAATACCACGTACTCTATGTAATTGTATATTATGTTCGTGACCGAATAGTTGTCATTTCTCTCCACAACCTTATAAAATCATCTATTTTAATATGCAACTTTTTGCAAAAGACATGGTGCCACTTTTGATCTCTGTTTATCATTCATACATCATTTTAAAAACTATTGATATTTGTGCTTTTATTTTGTTTGATTTATAGGTTCATTGTATGATTTATATTGACCTGATTGTTTGAATCTTTATTGTGTTAGTTTAAGTTTCCTTGTATTGTTTAGCATTAAGTTAAACATTTTATTTCAAAATTGTGTTTATGTATTTGCCTAGTTTTAAACTTGCTTTTTGTTCGTAAAAACTGTTATTTTGGATGCACCACTATTGTGTGTGCCACCGATCTTAAGGTCCTAATAAATTGATTGATTGATTGATTGATTTTCTTCATTATTTGAATATTTGGCATTGCATGATCTATCTGAATTTGAAATACATACTCCCTCAAATTTGAGACCTAAAAATCGGGGGTTGTCTAGGGTTCCTCAAATCGGTCTCCTATATGAGCCTCAAATCGGCTAAAACTGGTCTCTAAGCAGCATACGGTACCGGTACAGTGAGGGTAATCGTGCAAAAATTGCGACCACGACTAAAAAGTGGTCTCTAAAATCAGCATAATTATAGGGTAATCAAATCCAAAAACTTCTAAACACAAGATTAAAACTGCAGTGGTCTCAAATGTGGAACTTTTCTTATGTTTTAATAGAAAATGTCATTTTGATTTGACTGAATCATCAATAAGGAAGCTTACAAAACCCAAGGACTAAACTACAGTGGCTATGGTCAGAAGGAATGAACACGGTCATCACTGGTAATACAGGATCTAAAGCAAAGGCTGGCTCCTTTCCCTTTAATTCGTCACTAGATATAATTGAATATGTCCTACAATCGATGTCAGAGACACATCTGTTATGTATCAACAAAGCTCTTTTGGGTCAGGGTGCTAGATCGACAACCCTATGGGTAGGGGCTCCTTTGAGCCCCTAGGGGTTGGAAGCCCTGCTGATTGCCGCATGAGAGAGGCCTTACGTCACTGCTCTAAAGTATGACGTAGTTATATGCCTGGATGACTGAGGTATAAAGATCGATATTTCCATGTTGCGTACCATACCGGGGGCGAGCTACTAGATGAAGCACTAGTTAAAACAGTTTTGTCCACGCTACCAGATTTACACAAAAAAAAAAAAAAAAAAAAAAAAAAAAAAAAAAACTGTATATATACATAAATAATATATATTATAGTCATGATGTACTTATGGTCACGATGTGATGTCATCATGACCATATTTAGGCATGCCCACATATCAAATAAAATTTGATAGTCTATATAGGGCTTAAGAAAATTGGTTTCTGGTGCAGACCGTGCCTTCTTTTGTATTTTAATTTCATATTGAATTTTGAATTATATATATAAACTAAAAAACACTACAGCGATAATTGACTGGTTTAATTGCCGCTTTTCATCCTGCACCGTGCTAACATGAGGACTACTAAGTCTACTAAGACGAAGGCAATTTGTTGAATTGCCTTGCCAACCCCGACTGCTGTGTGACAACAACCTCTAAGGTGTTTGCATGAGATGGGATTGAGCAGATAACAACTTGTGAGGAGTGCTGAAGCAACTTTTCTAATAAAATTTACAAAACAAGGAAACCATTGGCGTGTCTACGGGGAGTGGGGGTTGGGCTTGTGATTACATTTAATCTATATTTTCTTAGGCCTGAGATAAATATAGGCCCTATGCAACATGGGTGACAGAAAAACAAACATCTTTTAACATGAAGATAGATCGGATGATTGGTTAATTAATTTAATAAGCGATTTATTGGTTGATTCTAAAACGCCAGTGGCATATCTAAGGAGTCTTAAAATGTATGGGCGGCCTTTAGGACCAAAATAGACAAACATCGGCGTACGAACAATCCCACTCTCACACAGTAAGGACAATAAAAATTGCCGTAAGGACAACAAACTGCCGTAAGGACAATACAAATTGCCGTAAAGACAATACAAAAATTCTCGTAAGGACAAAACAATCACTCGCCGTACAGACAAGACACAATTCGCCGTAAAGACAAGACAAACACTCGTAAGGGCAAGACAATCACTCGCCGTACAGAAGACAATTCGCCGCAGACAAGACAATTCGCCGTAAGGAAAAGGTAATTTATAACGTTGAGGGCAGCATATTTTAAGAGGCGACAAGGTTATTTTTTAGCACCGCGGAACTTTTCATTTATTTAACATGTACATTAAACTCCGCCCATACGACCGAGCATCTTTCGCAACTAGGCCTACTGCAGCCTAAACTAAACATTAACGAAAGGGTTGGTAGCTTGCAGTAATGTAATTGTCTTTTTATATCTTTTACTAGCCTAGCCTAGGCCTCCTAAGTGTTTTTGTTCATGTTCATTTTGTAGCCTAATACACTACTATAGCTATCAATACTTTAATTTTGTTTTTGTTTGTTTATTTATCAAACCCTAATCACTTTTCATCACCACTTTGATCACAGCTTAGACTAGAGTAATTAAGTGGAAGTTACATAAGCTATGTGATAATCGACCCTTAACTCTAAGCCTATCACAATAATATTGATTATTTTGTATAATATATCTCTAATTGTATCAGCCACAATTTGTCCTTTTTATAGTTTTGTAAGCTGAAGAAGACCAGAGGACTGGTAGAAATAAACTAGTGTTCTATAGACCACATGGCTCGTTGCTTTAATTTCTTGTTTCAACGCCTTTTATATAATTTAAAGAACACACATGAATTTATGATATATATATAATATATATATACATACATACATACATATATATATATATATATATATATATATATAATTCGAGTTCAATTCAATTCATATTCAATTTAAAATACTTTAGGCCTATTACTTAATTATCCAACAGGAAATCATTTGACCATGGCATGTGGGCCTAGGCTATAGCAACAAATACAAAACAGAGTACAATGAAACAAATATGGGTGGACCACTGACAATCGTCAGTGGGTGGTCTTCTTAACAAAAAAGACAAACATAGTCAAGCCACACAGCAGGCCACCGACTATAGAGTAGACCTGGCTTCATGGGTAGTAGCAGGCCCTAGGCCTAGCCTCAAAATACAACTAGGCTAGGCCTAGGGCCAGGCCAACATGAATAATTATAATATGTGTTATTAGTTATAGTAATATTAATAATAATTGTAAAGATATAAAAGACAATATATTACTGCAAGCTACCAATTTTTTGTTAATTTTCTAAGCAGCAGTAGGTCTAGTTCAGTGATGGCGCCATGAACTAAAGGCCCCGACAGGTGGGGGGGGGGGCTAGTGGAGCGAATCGGGCCATGGGGCCGCCTAGGGCCCCGGCGGGGATCCAGGGAAGCCACGGATATTTGACGAATTATGGCCAATTTTAATTACTTATTTTGATAGGCATCCAGTTACTATATGACTTCATGTAGGCTATATGTTTTCTAATGTCGAAATCAGCTTCCAAAACCAAAATATTTTGAATAAAACAAGAAACAAAGCGTATGCAATGTAACCATCTAATTTATTTTTAAATCCTCATTCTTGAAAGTGAAATTTTACATTTTGAAAATTTTGCATGAAATCTGTCAACCACACTGTCATGGTCGAAGTTGCTTCACCAATACGATGTATTTCAAGCATCATGAGGCTATCCCAACGAGCATTTGTCATAACAGAACACAAATTACTTTTAATTAGTCTCATTGAACTATTATTATTATTATTATTATTATTATTATGCCTATTATTAATATTTTAATAATAATAATAAATAATAATAAAATTAATAATAATAATAATAATAATAATGTAGTTTTATATAACGCACATATCCATCTAATGTAAGATGCTCAAGGCGCTTGATATGTGGACTAGGAATTCGATCAATGACTTTCTTCGCCCCTAAGGGTCCCTTCGTGTCTGTGCTACCCGGTAACCCGGTACCCGCAACTCTCGCCGTCAACCACAGAGGCTGTCTGTCCAGTACACCGGGGTATTCTCCTACTCGTCTCGAAGGATGTACTGGTTTTTTTTTATAGTGCATACGAGCCATTGTATACACTGGGCCTACGGTTTATAGACCTTATCCGAGAAGACTTGTTCTACCACCAGAACCGTAGGCGAGCGTGCCGTTCGAACCAGCGCCGATATTATGGCTATAATAACATAAATAGTTTAATGAAAACAATGTGGTGACTAAACGAACATTACATGTAAATATATATTTTTTTTAATTTGCTTATTCCCCGACAAAATGTACTCGCCTTCTACCCGTCGGGGAAGCATAGCCCCCTCCCCCGTCAGGGTGGCTAAAGGCCCCCAGCCCCTTTGGCGCCACCACTTGTCTAGTTGCGAAAGAGATGCTCGGGCCGTCAGAAAAGTTGTATGTTTCTTTGCTAAAAATAACCTTGTCGCCTCTTAAAATATGCTGCCCTCAACGTTATAAATTGTCTTGTCATTAAGGCGAATTGTCTTGTCTGTACGGCGAGTGATAGTCTTGTCCTTACGAGTGTTTGTCTTGTCTTTTCGGCGAATTGTGTCTTGTCTGTACGGCGAGTGATTGTTTTGTCCTTACGAGAATTTGTATTGTCCTTACGGCAATTTTTATTGTCCTTACTGCGTGAGAGTGGGATTGTTCGTACGCCAATGTTTGTCTATTTTGGCCCTAATGGCCGCCCATAGACGTGGGTTTCTTGGGCACGCGCGTATTCCTGGGGTCTGATTGAGGCACTCGATGATGACATGAGGGGACGCTGGTACGCAAAATAAGGTGATCGTGCACCCCACCCCCTCCACTGAAACACACGAAACAAAACAAAAAAAACAAAAACAAAAACCCATGACCAAGCCCACTTCAGTTGGCCACACCTCTTCGGACCAAAAGGGGATCATCTTTTTATCTTATGGTATACGCGCTGAAATGTCTCAAAGTAGCTCAATATGGCATAAAATCGACCAGTTTTTTAGGCACACTGTACATGGGGCCTAACATTATTATCTTCTCCATCATCATCATTAGTATGTTGGAGACGTGTGTAATTTACGTGCTGTATTCAAGGTCATAATTATTATTAAAGAGTAAACCAAACAACCCTGTCAATTACTGCAACATCCACTCATTAGCCTGGTTGATTAAGTATCATTATATATATATGTTCATTACTTAAAATATTTATTACATTTGGTTAGAAAACATGATTTATGCTCGTCTAATTGATGGTTGTGCGATTATGTAAATACGGTTACAAATGTAAACCTAAGGATATATATCTACGTTTCCATGTTTGCTTCATAATTATCTTTATCCGGTGTCTTTCAGTTCTTTCCGTTTCGTTGGTTTACACAATGTGTTAAGCGGAATAGATATAGCTGATGGCCATGGCACGGGCGATGAGCGAACTCAACTCGGGGAGTGAAATTACCTTAAGTTATGCTTAAGGATAATGATGTTTGTTCGTCATTATCGTAATTAAAAAACGATCCTTTTCTCTTCATTCTAAACGTCATCAAGGCATCACCTAGATAACAATTTTGTTATTTTGTTGGTTTTGCACCATGCACAAGATCTAGAGAAACCTTGGGTATAGCAACCTGCCTATAGGACTTGTCAACTGTTCAAATCGCATGGTTACGGACGTACACATTGTTCAACTCAATGAATCCACTAATGCTACGGGCCCGTAATCAAAAATTCGTGTCTAAGAACATGTCATACAGAGCTGTTCTGTGAGCGGATAATGAGAAACGCTCTGATATGCGACGGGACCGTAATCACAAATTCGCAGTCATCTATGCAATTTATCTTATTACTATGGTAACATACTATCGGAGATGATGCTGAAGTCACGTAAGATGAATTATACTGATGACGTATTCAAAGAGTGTATGTTTTTTGTGCCGCAGATTTCACTCAGTCGGAGAGTGGGAACAGATTTCAGCGGGACAGTTTTTCGCTATGTGCACTTTCGCTAGGAATCTACATACATCGGAAAAGAAATTGAGATCATAAAATAAGTATATGCTAAACCAATTACTATGTTCTAGGCCTATAAGGTAAGTAAACAACGACGGTATTATCTCTGTATGTAATTTTTAAATAAAGTGTAAATATACTGTATATATTCAAATTTTACTTCATATATATATATATATATATATATATATATGTATTATGTATATATATATATAATAGTCAACTGTCAAATGTACATATTAGATCAATCATATATAACATATATAAGTATATATATATTCTAATAAAGATATACCGGTATGC